CCAGCGCCACGCCCGACCGCCTTTGTCTCCCCAGTGGCGCTATTTACACACCGCACCAGGTACTAATTTGAGGCTGAGTCGACCTAGGGGAGGCCCACGACCGGTTCAAGATAATCGTCACTGGGTGTTGGCCGTGAGTGGGAATCGAACTCGGCTCGCCGGGTTCATAGCGCAGCGCGCTAACTGCTACACCACCACTCCCCACTACTGGACACACACACAGACAGACACACACACAATATAAGAAGCACCACAGCGCTGCAACGCCGACTGTGTGACGTCAGCATACACGGCAAGTCCTCCGCTCAACGCGTGGTGTTCACGCAACGCGTTTCAGCTATAACGCAGTTCTCCCATTAGGGAACGTGCAGAGTCACCACCACCACCAACACACGGAACACATTCCTGCGGAGGGAGCTGGTAGGAACGTTGGGTTGCTCGGTCAATGGCCAGGGCCAAAGGCGGCACCACGTGGTGTATTCCGCAAATATGCCCGACTGTGAAGGCAGGCACAAGCCGGCGTGAGTAGGTAAACGTTGAGTTTTATAAGGGCACCACGGGGTGACCAGCCCCTCCCCACCCAGCCCCACCCCCCACCTTGCCCCACCCTCCCCACCCTCCCCACCCAGCCCCTCCCTCCCCACCCAGCCTCTCCCTCCACACCCAGCCCCTCCCCACCCTCCCACCCCCCACCCAGCCCCACCCCTTCCATTTTTGGATGTACGACGGACGGACGGACACAATAATCCCCTGTGGGCTGGTGTAACCAGGAGGTTCCTACACAGTATAAATATTGGCATTTGTTCTGCTTCCTTTGAACGATATACAAATAAAAGGGCGTTTGCATTTCCGTCATTACTAAAACTTTCGATGTGTGGAATGAAACAATGCGCATTAAATGATGACCACGGCTATCTGAGCCGAGTGGCGAGGTGTTTATGCGCAATGCTTTGAAGGCTTGGCAAAGGCCCCAACGGTAGTTTATTTGAATATCTTTACTGAGAGTGCTTTGAGTGTACAGTGAGGGAAAAGAGCATTTGATCCCCTGCTGATTTTGTACGTTTGCCCACTGACAAAGAAATGATCAGTCTATAATTTTAATGGTAGGTTTATTTGAACAGTGAGAGACAGAATAACAACAAAAAATCCAGAAAACTCATGTCAAAAATGTTATAAATTGATTTGCATTTTAATGAGGGAAATAAGTATTTGACCCCTCTGCAAAACATGACTTAGTACTTGGTAGCAAAACCCTTGTTGGCAATCACAGAGGTCAGACGTTTCTTGTAGTTGGCCACCAGGTTTGCACACATCTCAGGAGGGATTTTGTCCCACTCCTCTTTGCAGATCTTCTCCAAGTCATTAAGGTTTCGAGGCTGACGTTTGGCAACTCGAACCTTCAACATTTTTGACATGCATTTTTCTGGATTTTGTTGTTGTTATTCTGTCTCTCACTGTTCAATAAACCTACCATTAAAATTATAGACTGATAATTTCTTTGTCAGTGGGCAAACGGAGAAAATCAGCAGGGGATCAAATACTTTGTTCCCTCACTGTATCTCTGGGGTGTCGGACCGCGCGAGTTTTGTTAAATGTTGTGCGGATCGCTCGCCGACAACACACCACCGGCACGCTGCAGCAAAATAAGAAATATTTAAAAAAATGTTTTTTAAACACGCTTTTATGAAATGTACTAGTAATGGAAGAACTCCACGATTCCAGGAAGTGGCCCCGAAGCTTGCCACAACGTAAGGAGACCGTGAGCAATTACAGCCAAACGTCAGTTGACCGTGGACAATTAGGCCCAAGCCGAAACATAACATATAAAAAAGAACGTTTACAAATATTTTTATTTCATTGTTTTATGATAGAATATGGTATTGTCATCAGTATGACATAAGTATACCAAGTTTGCAGTCGATGCCACATTGGGAAGTGGGTTTAAATTTAGTTACAGGATTTGTGAGTTAAATGAAAGCGTGTAATAATAATAAAAAAAAAACACCTCGGTGCGCATCGTTCACGCCACAATTTCATTCATTCGTCGTCCTCGCTTGCCTCCTGAGCTGAAACGCATCGCTGTAAAAACATCGCACGCACGCTGGCGGTCAAAGTGCCATCTCTGTCAGGGAAATTTGGGTTGAAACTGCGATTTAAAAGCCACGTGGCGAAGCAACAATACATCCATAGTAATATAAACGTATTGTTAAATCCGCCGCCACCCGATACAGCCAATTAGTAAGGTTTGTCACGTGAACAAAACGCGCCAATTCGTTACTGGTTCAGCACACACCCGGTGCGTTGCAGAGTAAACCCACCACAACGTTTACAATTCGAGTGCCGCGACGTTTCGCCAGTAATTACAACAACAACCAGAATCATCAGGCGACAGTCAGAGTTGTGGAGAAATCCTCCTCCTGGTTCGTTCTTAAATAGACGTGGGGGGGGGGGGGGAGTAAATGTGACGTCGTCACTTGTGAGCCAATCAGGTACGAAGGGTTAATGTATGTCTATGAATTACAAAAACACTTTTTTCACGCGACAATTGCACCTACTCGTCACCGCTCGCACACGCACCATCTCAAGCACGCACGCGGGCGATCAAAGTGCCCTCTCTGTCAGGGAAATCGAGTTTGAAACAGCGATGGGGGGGGGGAAGGCACATATACATGAAACGAAATCGAGCAGCTCTGGCAGGGCGCGACCATTCCCCCGTGGGACTCAAGGTTGCCCGATCACTAAGTGCGAGCACGTAAGCAGGTTTGTATTTTGGGGTTCAGTCGTTTATTCGAATGCATTGCTTTGTCCAGCGATAATAATAATAATATATCGGTGCGATTATAGAATGCATCCCTTGTAACACGAAGGCGAAAATGTCACATTGTGTCGTTGTCAACGTTGTTTATGTTTCATTCACTGCACGCGCAATGCCGAAGCACGTTGTAGATTAGACAGTGTCTATACTCTTTCGTTTATGCTGGAGTCTAACGTCTATTACATGACAAAGACAGTATACTTTCATTTTATCTAGCATCGTTCGTGCTCATAGCATACCAAAGCGCTGGGTTATTAATTATATATGAGGACCACATTTCATTTTAGAGCCACTAAATGAGCCACGCAAATGAAAACCCCAACTACTCTTACCAATTTTTTTTTTAAAGAAATAGCACCCAAACAAAAAGCGCAAACAAACAACAAAACGAAGCTATCACAACAAATAAACACAAATATGCCCCGTGCATATGCTCGGCTGTACATTGAGTTTCTCCAGCACGTATAACCTTGGCTTCCAGAAGGCCGGCCACGCTCCACAGGGCCCCTTCCCAATCTCGCCTGAACTTCGCGTGCCCGAATTTGTGGTGAAATCGGTAATTTCCTCACGTGACGTGCGTACTCGTGTTGTACACTGAACTTATTCCGCTCCGCACGTAGCCAACGGTGTTAACTGGAGGTGCCGTTAGGCATCGGCTGGCACCCGGTTCACTGCGGTGTCGTGAATACCCGCGATGCACTGCGCGCCCGTCATCACAACGTGACATACGTCCGATGGAACATTTGTGCCGCGATGCGACGTTGCGGACAACTCCGGCCAGCGGGCCAGCGGGTATCGGAACACCGCCGCAGGTGTTGCGTCAACAATATTGAGGACGCCTTCCGTTCTTCCTCTTTCACTTTCCCCGCCCCCCCCCCCTGCCCCACAGAGGGGTAACGGCCACAGCAGACCGAACGGGGTTTCATCGTGGCACGCACACATCGCAATGTTTTGGCGCTGATTACATTCGCAATGAGAAATGAAGCAATTTGTACGGCCGTGCATTTGGGTGATTGGGGGGGTGGTGGTGGGGTTGGTCGATTTTGTAATTGCAGTTAAACAATGCAGATATATCTTCTTCTTTGGTTCTTTCGATAAAGTCACGTAGAATGAGAATAAAATAATAAATTGATAAAATAAAATAACACAATAATATTCTCACGACGTTTCGGCCACAACACAAGCGGCCTTCATCAGGTGAAGGAACGAGACTGTCTGGTAGGACAGCGCTGGAGCTTTAAATCGAAATTCAGATATATCTTATTCCGTTCCATTGACTCCCATGAAATGTGCAGGGATGTTTTCTTCTTCCATAGAGTAACTGTTTCAACTATTTCCTATTTTACCAGGTAAGAGCCACTCGGCGATATAGCTCTATTTCAGAAGCGATCTGGCCACAAATGATAGCTGAGCAAAGTGGCTTATTGTCGCGTGGAAAATTGTATCTGCCAAATCCTCTAAAAGCACTATTCTAAATATGGAGGGGAAAAAACCCGGTGGAAATGGAGAAAAATCCACGCGACCACGGGGAGAACACGCAAACTCCAAATATACAGCAGCAGGCGTCAGGGTCGGGACCGAACCCACGACCTCCTGTACACCAGGCGATGGAGTTGACATCTCGCCTGGTCACACGTAAAGTTCAATTTCCGGACATAATCATTAATGCCATTTAAGAGAACGAACTTTCCCGAAGCCCTCTCGTGGCCAGCAGACCTCGACATTGGCATTTAAATTCTGAACATATTGCCATGCGCAAGAAAAGAATCGTAATAAATTGGAAAAAAAGAATTTGGGGGGGATGAGTAAAGCTGCAGCAGTTATCAACCGGCTTTGTTATTTTCTGCACAATAGCTCATTCAGAAATGCATAGCTTCCCGAAGGATTTCTGCGAGTTCTTGTATTATTAATGAGTGTATTAGATGCGCTGAAATTGCTGTATCATTATTTTTAGTCCGTATGCATATATGTATAATCATTAAATGAGACTGTATCCGTGCGACTGATGCCATTACTGCACATTTTTTTGGTTTATGTCAATAAAAGAAGCTTTACAGTGGAAGAAGCTAAAATTATCATGAATTGTAATTTCGAATGATATGTTTGCAAGACTACGTGTTCCACATTTATTATTCCCATTATTTGGTGTTGTTTTTTTTTTATTGTCCCCCCCCCCCCCCCCCAGTTGGTAACAGCGGTTTCAACGACAGCTGAGGAGTAGATTTGCCTCCCTCACTGACAAGTCCATCTCTCCACCAGGTAAGAGTCTGACTGCAGGGCAAATATACGTGTGTATGTACGTCGAATTTCTTTCGCGCTGTGAGTAGGCAACCGTGCTAATCGGAGGTGCGGTGGGGAGGGGGAGGGGGGACAACAAAATAAACACAAAAGGAAGTTCACGAGAAATTCGTTTGCAATCTACACCGACGGTGGATGAACTTTAAGCACAAACACGCGAAGCCAAAATTAAAATCCTTGCCTCGCATTTTAATGAAACAGATTATTTGGTGATGCTGCTGCTGCTGGTGCGTTGGCAGTGATGCATAAGCACAGTTAACAAAGCAGCTCAACACAATCATCAACTATATTCTCGGTTCTTTCGGTAAAGACACGTAGATAAAAAAAAAACCAATAATAATAAAATAAAAAAATACAAATAATACAAATCGAAATAATAAATTGAAAATAATAAAAGCGAAAAACCACGATAAAAATAGTAAAATAAAGTTACAAGTAAAATGAAAATAATAAAAGCAAAAAATCCTAGACGTTTCGATCGCAACACAAGCGGTCTTCATCAGGCGGAGAGAAAAAATAATCAACTAGCTCGTGGCTTTAATTTTTTCGTGAAAAATAATAGGGAACGTTTCTGGCAACGGGTCTTCTTCAAAGCACATAGATAAAGAAGAGTCATTGCCCAAACCGTCACCTGTTATATAGTTTGTAAGCCCACAGTGTCATGGACAAACGTGTTGTGATGTTTTTTTGTTGTTGTACATCACGTAATAATTCTGAAAGATATTTGGCAGGCAAATATAGTTCGCCGTATCGTTTTTTTTGGCATTTTTAATTCGTAATCATAATATTTGTTTTGTGTGTGTTAGTGTGATGTCCTTCGCCGCACCTCCGATCAGCACGGTCGGCAACGTGCGGTGCGAAAGAAGTTCAACGGACGTACACACGTACATCTAGTTTCTCATTGTTTTCGTGTGCTTTGTGCCTTGGCTTTGTGGGGGAATCACTCAACACCACGAGAATGCGTTGGGAGAAAACAACGACAAAAGCGATGTGCCCAACGTTTCCCAACTTGCCAGAGATAGGTGTGGGTATGGCAGAGGCGTTAGAGCAAAAGCAACGACAAAGATGCCGCTATGCACAATTACTGCTAATTGACACGTCATTTTATTTTTTTGTTATATTGAAAAGCTTCAGTGCAACTTTCATGTTAAAGTCACACCCTGGTTTTTTTTTTAAACTTGATCATAATTTAACATGTTTCCCGTGTGCATTCCTACTCAACTACCCACACACACACACAAATGTGTGATTTAGCCACTTATTTAAAAAAAAAACCGTATGATTAAAAGAGTAACCCTGGAAAATCCCAGGAATTTGAGCCAGGCAAGGTTGAAACGGAGAGAGGGAAAACACGTGGATTAGAGATCGTACGCCGGTGTGCGTCACGACATCGTCCAAACCTCGCGAGAAACCTAAGTGTGGCTGGGGCAGGAGGGGGTTGATGGACGATCGTCAAGAATTATAATAATGATGGTGTGGCAGCCAAGGCATTTTACGATATCTGAGAGGGCATCTGCCGAGAAGATGGAGCGATGAAAATAAGTTCACGTGCAGCCGGTGCTGAAAAATAGATTGTTCCATCGCAGGATCGTGACCGGTTGGCTGTGGCTTGGAGAGGCCTTCATCCAGCAATGGATTGATCATGGCCCATGACGATGATAATGATTATAAGAATAAATGATGGCTCGTCGTTGCCAATATAAAGGGTGTTTCAAAGAGATGGACCCAATTTCAAAGCAGTATATTTCACGATGGAAACATTTTACAATTACACAAAAAGTTACAAACGGTTTAATGAGCTATCAAATTTTATTAACCATTTAAAAAAAATGCTCTATGTGACCTCCACCTGCTGTACGGACAACATCCAGAGGATAGTTGAATTCGTCCCAAACGCCTCTCTTCTCACGTTTTCCTCTGAGGTGCGTGGTCGCCCTGTGCTCTTCCCCTTACATAAACTGCAGCCTGTTTCCTCAAATTGTAGCTACCAACGACGAATGCTCTTTGACATTGGCGGATCAATGCTAAAACGCCGTTGAAACGCACGCTGCACCGCAATTACGGATTCAGTGTTGCTGCACTGCAGAAGGCAAAACGCCCCTTGTGTTGCGGGGTTCACCGTCTTGCCAATGACTGAGGCTAGGGGCTGTTTGTGCGCTGGGAGAGGTATTTAGCGATAATCATTTGAAACTCTATGCCCCGCCCTCTCTATGCCCCGCCCTCTCTATGCCCCGCCCTTTCATGGGCGGTTCGTGGTTGCAGAGATAGAGCGATTTCAAGTCGGGTCCATCTTTTAAAAAAACAAACCTGTAGTACTTAGCTGCAATACAACAACAACAAAACCGAGATCGGTTTTGATTTTCAGATGATACGCATATTGGCTGTGTGCTCTGGGCCATGCCACAAGTTTAACGCTTCAATCAAGGGGAACAGGACGGTGATGTTTGTGGTGACATCACAAGAGCCATCGTTTCTCGAGTCACATCACAGAGGTGTGATTGCTAGGGGTGGAATGATGCATGAAGTCGTTCATGTTGATATTGTGTTAGATCATATACGTTGCATTGATTCGGCATCGTATGCATGTTGAACCTCTTTCGCACCATACGTAGCCAACCACGCTAAGGACAACAAACTGAACCCCAAAAAAAGCAGTTTTAAAGAAATTATTTTCAAATCTAGGTGATGATTTAAAAGTGCATATCTCCCGTGGCTTCGTATCGGAAGGAAGAACGTTCCAGACGTTCGCAGAAGCGTATGTGACTCTTCCTATGCCACTAGGAGCTACCGTTTAGCCGGGCGGTGGTGGCGATGCACGCCTGTAATACAGCACTACCATGGAGGCGAGAATCGGTGGATTATACACAAATGTTGCAAAACCCCATTTCCGTGGGCATTGGGGTGCCATACTCTGCCTTGCCAGGAGATGGCGCTACAGCAAGTGACGGACTTAGCTAGTATGTTCCTTCTTCATAATAAAGGTTTTTTTGTTGCGTTAGATCACGCAAGTATTAATGCGTCGTAACCGTTCACCACCCGACACAGCCAATTAGTAAGGGATTTGTCACGTAAACAAAACGCCAATTAGTTTACTATTTCAGCACACCGGTAAATCCACAACATTTACAATTTGAGTACTACGACCTTTCGCTCGTAAATAGTCTATTCTGGCAAATCGCCCGATGACGCTCGATGTAATAAAGATCAGAATACCAGCGTGTGGAGGCGAAAACGTTTTTCAATTTTTATCATCTCAAACTACAACAATTTTGGGCTAACCTTTTGAAGATGAGGAGAGGAAAAACGTTGCAGATGTACCCGACTGTAGCCAGAGAGAGAGAGGGAGGGAGCCCATTCAGCACACTCTGTGGCGCAGTCTTAGAAGCGATGCAAACACTTGCCCATGGCCACGCAACGGGAGTGGGAGGGGGGGGGGTAGAGTCAAGGATGCATAATTCATGGGGAAAGAGAAGAGAGAAGAGAAAGATTGGGAGATAAAAGGATGACAAAGGAAGGGGAAAAATGGCAGGAAAGGGTAAGGAGAGATGAGTATGGGGGAGGAAGGAGGCTACCCGGGGGTCTTGGCGCTCCCGCACGGAGCGGAGTCTGTTTTCACAGCGGGCGGTGGGGGGAGAGGGGAGGAGTTTCAGAGTGGGTGTGGCCACACAGAAGTCACGTGCTTTACGTGAGGCTTGGTGATAAATGAGTGGCGATGAATAGAGTAGCCACGTCTGATCTTGTTTGAGGACGAAAGTGACCCCAAGCTTCTCTTCCCGCATAGTCGATATTTAATGACAATAAAAAAACGCAGCCTGCCAGAACATACTTTATTTGGCGAATGTGTTAAGGTTTTATTTTTTTTATTTTCACGAAACAATGATAAATCCGTTTCCACGTTTGTACGTGACCCACAGGGAAAACGTTCGGCATTGTCACGTCTTGCCACCTTAAATATAAACTGGTCCATACGTGAGAAAAGCCAACAAACCTTGAAGGGAGAAATTGCATGAGGGTGCTCAGGTGGTGGAATTACCTCTGGGTCCACCCAACCCTGAAAGAAGAGAGTCAATTTAATGCATACGCTTTCGCGACCAATATTATTCATGATCCATAATAGAGGTTTTTGGCTTGCATCGCGTTAATATAAATGTGTCGTTAAACCCGCCACCAACCCGACACAGCAAATTAGTAAGGGTTGTCATGTAAACAAAACATGCAAATTCGTAACGAGTTCAGCACACCGGTGTGTTGGAGAGTACACCCACAGCATTTACCATTAATCGCGAAAGCCTACGTGTGAAACTGTTAATGATAACGTTTTAAGTTAGGTTTGATCACGTACATGTGAATGTGTTGCTAACCCACCTCCACCCGACACGGCTAATTGGTAAGGTTTGTCACGTGAACAAAATGTGCCAATTAGTTACGACTTGTACATCCGATTAGCACGGTTGGCTGCGTCGGGTGCAAAAGAAGTTCAACGTACATACGTGCCTACCCGTGGTTGGCCAGCCCCTGGAGGTGTACGCGTGACATCTCCATCGGGGTACGGGAGACAATTCACGTTTGATCGGTGGTCGCATGGGTTTACTCAGCAGTGCTGCTCGGCACGCGTGCGCTGGCAATTCCCAAGCTATGGCCTCATCTGTTGCGTGGAATCCGGGTGAACCCGTGAGTTCGGATGCCTGGGTCTTCCTCGTCTTTTCCCGCTCTCGCCTTCCATTATATTTTTTACGATAATTATCCGCACATTCAAACGAATATAAACGCTCATCGGTTGCTCCTTTAGACCTCTCTTTATCCACACAAGGCTTCCAAAGAGAATGTGTCTTTTGTTAGTCAACCAACATTATTTTTCTCAGAGCTGGCATCATCATCATCCATGGGCAGATAGCCCCGTAGGTATTACTCTTTGGTTCTTTCGGTAAAGTTACGTAGAAAGAAAAAAAGAATTAATTAAT